GCAATTAAAATTCTATGTATCCATAAAATATATTGGAATTAAGAATGGGGTAATATATAAAATAGTGGAAATAAATGCGCTAGACATCCAAATAATATATACAAATTTTTTGTTATTGTGCCTCGACGTTATCTCGAATAAATTATTTTTATTACCGTCTCGACTCGTGATGGAATTTTCTACACATCTTTTTTGCGATTTTTACTACGTTTCATTCATCACGTTCATTCTTGTATATATTTCTGAGAATTATTTACGTTTTATTGCCGCATTCCAAATATAGTATTTTTTGTGTGTTTTGTGTTCGGTCATCATTTCACTATTTTACTTGCATATTAGTTGCATTACTTACATGTTTGAATGTAAGCAAAATTAACATTTATTTCTCTAATTAAATACATTAATTTTATTAAGAAATCTGTTTACTTAGTCATTTACAACAAAACATTTGCAAGATGCTTCACGTTTTACCAAATTGTTGTCCCATTACAGAAAAATGCAGTGGAGGAACTTTAAATACTTGTCCACCCTGCTAATAAATTATAGTAGAGAAAATCATAGTAACAACAGTTACAAAAATGGATAAGGTGAAGTGTAGTTTATCGGAGGGCAACATTAAGAGAGTCGTGAGCCCTAGATACCAATTAGTTTCACTATTTGAGGGCCCTACATAAATATTTATTTGGGCCTACCACTGTACTTCCGCCACTGGAAATATGTTTAATATTAATTATCGATAATTACGACGAAACTATTGCAAATTTTCGCATATTTTCATTTCACGACCGGCTGATTACGTTTATATTAGCGTTGGCGCTGCCAATTTCATGAAACTATTATTTAATTTGAATCGCCTAACTGACGAATTAATGTAATTGAATGCATTTGAGCAACCTGACACCAAACACTTCGCGCCAGTATTAAACGTTATTACATAATCACAATTAATATAGGTCGCTCTTCCTATTCAAAAAGGCCATTGACCGACACTCATAACATTATTTTTATATAATTGAATATTCTAAAAACATACCTACAAAAAACCTAAAACACTAAACATACTGTAAAAACATAAAGTTTACTAGTGATTCTTTACTAGGAGGGTCGCAAAAAATGTTTTTCTACATAGGTATGTGGGTCCTTTAAAATTTGTAATCAGTCGCGGTCCAAAAAGTTTCAGAAACACTGGACTATACTATTATATAAGTAAAGTGTTAAAATTAGTCATTATTTATTACCCAATCAAAAATTTTGTTGCTTAAATTTCCTAAACTTATTTATTCTCTAATTTTAGATTATATTTATTAAATTAGTCACTAAAATTAAATTTTTAAATGAAAATAAATATGAAGAAATGTTTAAATAATGTATTTGAAATAGAATAGAAATAAAATAATTATATAAGAAAAGATGAAGAAATGTATTAATTTTCAGAGGAAATTCTTTTAGAGATTTAGCGTTAAGTAGGCACGTAACGTAGAAATAGTTTTTTTATTGGAGGTGAGTGTACAAGCTTAAAAGCAGATCAGCATTGGTAGACTATCTGTTCGCCGACCGTGGAGGGATTCGAAATATGTTTGAGGAGGCGGAGGTTTCTTAAAACTTATAAGAATTATGATCGCACGTTTTGCGAAGTTTTCAATAAAAACATCGAGTCGGAATGGGCGAGTGGAAGTTGGGGCGAGGAAGTCGATGAGGGAAAAAAATATATATGAGGAAAAGAAGAAGTAAAGCTAGAAGAGGGATGGAAGAAGTAAAATAATTTGTAGTAATGGGGTTTTGGGACGAAGGGGCTATTATCGAGTCGACGGTAATTCTCGTCTCAGATGACAAGTGGTGTCCGTACCCATACACTTCGCGTCAATCCTAACAGCGATAACGTTGATGGCATAACCTTCGCCGATAATATTGTGAAGTTCAGAATTAATCCATGATCACGTCCTATGTACATATTCGCACAATGAGCGGGTTTAAAAAGGTGTACCTAATGCGATTATCCTCTGTAATGGAGTGATTTTAATTAAATATGATGGTAGCAAGTGGAGTGTTAAGTGTGATAAATAGCCGGGGGTCGGCGGGTGTTGGCAGCGCATCAGACCCGGTGTCATCAGCGCGTGACTGCGTGTCCTGGAGCAGCTGAGCAGGTGTCTTCTCGCTGTGACAGAACCGCAGGACGAAGGATGGAATAGGATAGGATGGAATGAAATGGTATGGAACGAAGGACACTGCTGCCGGGAAGGAAAGAAGAAAGCCTGAAGAAAGGAAAGGAGAGGATAACTTATCACTTTGCCGGCAGCTGACAAGTGCTCAACTTTTAATTCCTCAACTAATATCTGACAGGCAAGCTTTATATTTGTTCTCTCGATTCCTTCTTTTATTTATCATCCGCAATTGAATGGGAAAGGAGCCGAATGAAAAATGCGAAAGAACTGTCATCGCGGCTAAATATTTGACCCTTCTTCGGTCCTGCCGCCCCCAGCAGCAGCCACAGAACAAGAACTCCCAGAGGGGTGAGAAAACGTAATCCATCAACGGAAATCAAAGAAGTTTCTGATAGTGTTGATGGCTATGGTGATGGAGGCTCACCAGTGACATATGCTGTTACATATTTTTCAACTAAACCAAACTATATTTTACATCTATAACATTTCTTCATCTCATAATTATTATTCTACTTTCAAACATTATTTTATCAACTGTATTTATAAATCAATAATATTAATACACATTAAAACAAACCTGTTGTTAAATCCAATATCAGCCTGGTTCGAATAAAATGCAACATTTTGTAAGTTTCGAAACATTATACATTTTGTAAATGTAAATAAACCACTTTCGATAAACTAAAATTAAACTGCACATCATCAACTTCAAATCGCGTAGCGTGTGAATAAACTATAATTAATAAATAGTCTGTCTTATATAACACCGTTAAGAACAAGCGATGAAAGCTCATCAATTAATCCGCAACGCTTCACAATCCACACTGTTTCTTAATCCTTTGTCTCACTGCCTTCTTTACTATGGACGCACACGGGAAAGTCCCTAATTTCATAAAACCTAAGCGTATGCTTGACCTTGTCGAGTGCATACAATAGAAACGGATCAATACTTTCATATACTCCGACTTATATATTAACCACAAGACACTTCAGCCGAACACATGTTTCCTTTCTTTACACTTTATTATTTTTACTTAAATAAACAATTTATTATTTATCTTCTTTATTATCTCAATTACATAATTTAATTATTTATTTCTACTATTATTTTCATTTTCACTTTAAATCTAAAACATTATTTACTTTAAAAATTATAAGTAATTATTCTACTCCACCTCAAAGTAATTCGTCTCAGAAACTTGTTTTTTTGTGGCCCTTTCTTTTTGACCTCGTAGTATCATTATATCTATTTAAACAGCAAACACTGCTTATACTCACTCGAGTATGGTAGATTTAGCTTTAATATTCACATTTATATTCATAATGAGCTCTCGGAACTTTTCAGGCCCACCTGAAAATATACCTTTTATACACTTAGAATTTCTCTTTGAAACGCCCTTCACATTGAATAAGAACCGCATTTTTTCTTCTTCAAATGATACAGATTTCTTAGTTTTTTTTTATATATAAATATCTAATTACTTTTGTTTTTGTTTATTTTATTGCAATTACTGACATTTTTTTAACAAGTTTTATTAAATATTTTTATACAGAATTATTATATTTAATTGTTCCACTAATTAATGTATACATATATATATATATACATAATAATATAAACAGTAAATAAATGAATAAAATGAAATGATTAATGAGAAATAATTTATTATTGTAAGAAGTGTAGAATGTTAATACTATACATTATATGAAAATGTATATGTTTGGTCATCAAATTTGAGTTTTGTAGTGTAAAATGATCGAGTTTCGTAGATCTAGAAGGAAGGTGTCGTATATTACGAGCAGGGATTACGATTATATATGTGTGCATGTGTATAAATTTTTGAGAATGAGCGGTGGGGGATGAGTTTATTTGCAAGCGCGGAAGTAACAGGACATCACAGTTGTAAATCAGGACGTATAGCGGGATTTGCGCCGGAGGCGGCGGCGACCAGGCTGAGTAATGGGTATGACGATCCGCAACCGATATTGAATATAACACAACATCACCATCTAAGAGATAAAACTTGTCAGCGAACAAAGCTCGCAGCCAGAGGAAATGGGAATTAGGGGTGGGCTGAGGGAAGTTGTACTGCCTACATGTGCAGAGATTCGGTGGGGTTCAGATTCGGAGATCGAGAGATCTGCATTGGTTTCCGAACAAGCGAAGCTTTTCATTACCTGCTCTGAATGATGTTACCTCTAAACATAAATATATTTGATGCGAGGGAGTATTGCCCCGACGTAAATCATTGGGAATCTCTTAAATCGTTAAAGAGCGAAGGATGTGTTTAAGGGTGTTTGTGTGAGATGTGTTTGGGTGTGGGTCTGAATGTGTGTAATTTGCGGTTTTAAGACGACAGTAATTGCGGCCACTTGGTCGACTCTCGCGTTCCCGTCTGCCGTTTAAATTCGGGCGTTTAAGTGTCGGCTAGGAATCGAAGACAATGATAAATTATTACTGCGGCCATTATGCGCCTGGGCTTCCCACCCCTCGAATACTTCCTTAATTCATTGGTCATTAAGAGTGGATTTTTGCGCGCCACCAACACCAACCTACAATCTAGAAGCAGTAGTAGCAGCAGCAGCAGAGCCTGATGATCTCTGCTCGTGGCATAATTCCAACATATCTCGTTAGGAAACGCGGCTGGCGCGTAACGACAATCCGCGATGCGGCTCTCGCCCGTTATTACCCCGAGAGATGCAAGGATAATTTATGTCGAAGCGGACTGACGCAAACACCATCAGACCCCATCAAAGCCCCATCGGCCCCCCAAAACCCTGCTAGAAACATGGCATAGTGGTGGTGCACATATAACCGGCTACTGTTATCTGTTCCAGATTTATCCACACGGCCGCACGGAAGGATGTGAAGGATGATCCTACGTTCCGTTACCCGTTCGCCTCTGGCTGTAGTGCTGCTCCCCCTGGTGCTCGCCATCCTCGGTGAGTTTCTCTCCATTTTCCATTTGGAACATACATCCCCATTTCCACCTAAAATCTATGTACCAACCTACGTAAACGCAAGGTGGTTGGTAGCCGTACAGTTTCCATTCCATGTGCCGACTATAACTAGGCTTTACGATCCAACGGCAAATAAACAGGAGACTGGAGATTGCAATACCACAACTACAAAATCCAGGACATTCCACATATCGGTGTTTATTGAATACCTGCCGAATCTTGATTACCACGACGAAAAGAACTAGTTGTTGTTCACCCATGGTATTGCAATCTCTGGTCGCAAACTCGCTGATCTCGGAACCCCGCAAACCTCTGCAAACACCCCGGACAGGTGAGGTGAGATGAGGTTTTGGGGGGTTCGTGTCAGATCTTCGGCGGTATGGTATGACGTTCTTGGAGTTCGAGATGGATTGCGGCCGGCCGTCCCCCAAGAGTTTGTGACAGCCGAATAACTAGCGTCAGTACACACAACTGGCATTCAGATAAGGCGAGAAACTTCTCGCCACCCTCTCTCTCGCAATGTGCTTCCCTTATCAAGCCACCCCTCGAGGGTGTATTCCGCGGGACGCATATTCTTCGGATTAAATAGCCCAGGCCCGCATCCGAAGAAATATCCGCGACGCCCCCGCAGAGATACGCCACTTGCGTAACTTTGTGTTGTTATGTTATGCAATAACCACGCACACGCATACAGAGGCGCGTTCTCATATCAGATCTCTACGACGTCACCTACACAAAATATAAGCAAATAGAATGAAAAGAAAAGGAAAAAAAAGAGAAAACGCCACATTCAGTTGAATATACACTATATTAGCTTAAGGGTGCGGTTTACTGCTGCGATGTAGATCAAGGGAGAAAAGAAGGTGGAAAAGTTTGTATTATTAAGAATATGTGACGACGTGTTTCTCCAGTACCAACGCCGAATGGATTCAACGCTTTATACTGAACCTTGAAGCACATACAGGCAAAACCTTCATATGTTTTATATCCTCTTACTCAATACACTGATTCCACTAAGTAAAAGTATACACAATGCATTATATAACATTTAAGATATTATAAATCGCAAGGATTAATATGATTTTTTAAACTAAACTATATATATTTTAATTAAGTAACAAGAAATTCATAGAATTCTCTAACTAAAATTATATTTATGTACAAACAAGTAAATTTAAGAAATTAAATCTAATAAAAACAAAAATATGAAATAATATGAATGTTTTGAAAAGGATCAATTATTTTCTGTATTGAAAATATGGAGATTCTTTGTGAAATGAAATCTGTATGTACCAAAATAATTGTTACAGCAGATGTATCGGTTTCGATGCATCATTAATTCGGACTTTGCCACCATCAACGATATTAAGTTAGAGCATTAATTGTATTTCGATACAGACAATATATTGATTCAGCATATATCATCAATGATATTCAATTAGCATTGCGCAAGAAGATTTATACTTCTTAGATTAAGTACATAAAGAAAAATAGGAAAACTGTTTAGTGAAAAAAAATAGATTTTCATTTATTATTTAGATTTGAATTTCGTTGGGGTTTATTAAGATTAATTAAGTTCAAGAAGCATTGAAAACACAAACGTTATTTTTATTATCAATATGATTAGAATTAATTGTAGAAAATAAAAAACAAAGTTTCACTTTAAAATTGTTGAAACATAATTGAAATGCAAATTTAGAAAATAAAGTTTTGAATTAATTTGTTTAACGTATAACAGCAAATTTATTTAAGTTTTTTAATTCACTGAAAATATGTTAATAGTATTATTGGATAAATAATGTTTTCAAGAAATCTGTCAGGAATTAAATATTGTTTTTTTAGAGAATGTTAGTAAATGTCTGGAATTCATTAGGGAATGATTATGATGGTAATTGGAACAGAATCGATTTGTTGCAAACCATTAGGTGCGCCGGAAGTAGTGTTAGTATTAATTGCGTAGTTTATGAAGAAATTAATGCACTATATATATTTAATTACATATGGTGCTGGTAATACTATACTACTACATCCCCATAGTTAATTCTTACTCACAAGTTTTAATGAAGACGGTTAAATAACGAGAATGGGAATGGGTAGAAACGGGGGTTCTTCGGGATTGCGCATGCAAATCACAGGGTGGGTGGCAAAGTAGACGGAGGTTTAGGCAATCCCCCTTGTGCTGAAGGGAGACGGAAGAGCCGAATTTAGTTCTCCGATCCACTACACATACTCGAGCCATAACTGGATTCCAGAACTCTGATCAATGGATGCGGAGGAGAAGGCGCTCTTTAATGAATACTCGAAAATGCGTCGCTCCTTCAGGGGCGATGGATAAAAGTGCGGCATCGTGTAGCGCCGAATTTCGTACGCGCATACGAGAGTTCGGTCCGCGCAATTAGTGGACATGCATAGGAATGTGGCAAGATGAATGGGTTGCAATTTGTTATGGTTGTAGGTGAGGTCGGTGCCGGAGGTTAGCCCATAATAACTTCACTTCCCGGCACACGGGTTCACTCAGATATTTATGTTGCGGGTCGCGACATCGCATTTGTCTTGGTCGTCCTGTAGGCCCTTCCCGTCCGGGACGGGACGGCAGGATGGAAGGACGAGCCGGATGTCGAATGCCGAATGCTTCTCTCCTCTACTCGTCCACCTTCGATATAATATTTGCCCTAACCCGATACCCGTACTCTTCTGCTCGAGCAGAAATTTAAATTGAAAACCTTCTCCAAGTGGAATTAAGTCGGAAATTCGTGCTGTTAAATCAACAGTGCACTTTTTGAAATACCTTTTTCTTTTACTAGCATCCTCCCAATCTTTCTCCCCTAACTCTACACATTGCCAGCTTCCTGTTACCTCATTTATTTTAGTATTTCAGTTGTTTTGTATTTTTTTAATTGGATTTATTGAAATATTTAAAAAAATACAAAAATATTAAATGATTACAACTTTAGTAAAATGTTAAGAAATCAAAATCATTTTGAAAAAAAAACTAATAATTTAATTGTATTATATTTTTTTACAATTATAGTTTTTAGAAATAATTTTCAGAAATTATGTTGTATTTTTTTAATTTATTCTATTGATGATGTAAATGCTGTCCCCATGTTTGCATTCGTATCCTGTTGCATTTGTTACCGTTTTTTTATTTATTGTTTTCTACTTTCATTGTGTTTCCCTCCCATTGTACACAATTACAAACTTTCGCAGTCGCTCTTCTTTTACGTTGCATTACGCATTGTGCATCCGCTCCTTATTACTATTTACACAACAGCCACGTCTTCGTTACTAACATTATTCCATCTTATATTTAGAAGGAAATAAAGTTTAAAATTTATTTGAACTTTATTATTGAAATCCGTGAAAATGCTGCGCATTCTTTATTAGTAATATCATGGTAATTAGCAGACAGAAGAAGGAAAATCAACGAATGAACTCGTCGACAACAGTTAGTAGAAGGATGCATACTTAATTACCCGTGTTTATATAAAATAGTGAGGTTTGCATTTTGCTGGGATTGCAGATATTCTTCTTTTCTTTATGTTCATAACTTATCCGAAATGTAATTAGGTAATGGTTTATTGGATGGATTATAGTGAGGTACAGATGATGCCAACTGTAATTTTGTTCAAACACTCCCTGTGGTCTTGTAAACCATAGCCTCGAATCAACAGTATCCATTTTCTATAACCGAGAGCAAATATAGTCTGACCTACAGATTCCTGTTCAAACGTGGACAGCTACAGAGGACCACAGCTCTAAGTTAAAAGTGAACGGATGATTAATGTGGCTGTGTGATTGCCAAAGTTGCGATCACGTCCACCAACTATCCACTCTTCAGCTCGGGCCGCGTTCCAAGCCTTCCCCTCTTTTCCTACGTACAACAAGTTTTTTCCTTTTTTTGGGTTATTTTTTTTCGTTAACTTTTAGCATGCAGCCTGTGATATTTGTGCAGCGGAAATGTGTGTAAACATTCATGCCTATCCCTATTCAACCGTTCCCAAAGTAGATTTTCCTTTCCACTTTGACACAAGTTATTTAGATTATCAAATACAGCTCTTCCAGTTGGAGCTTCATCTAAAGACCATGTCCGGCTTGATTTACAAGCATACGCTTTACTTTGCTGCAAACACTGATATCCTTTTACTTTTGACATGAATTCATTATGTTTGTCTACAATTTAATATAACATCAACAATTTACCTTGTCAGTAAATAATTTATTACATGTTTTTAAAGAAAATCTCATAATATTTCAGTGAAATACACATCATGTCTTTTATAATATTTACAACAGATTTGAATTCAAAGAAATGACAAATTCTAAAATAAAAATCTTGAAAAAATCTTAAATTTTTCTTGCAGTGATTGCATTTTTTAAGTGAATTTTTACAATTTCTACGCGTTGTTCGATCGTATACTTTTCCATAACTTAACCTGGCGGCAATTTTAAATATATCCAATATATAAAGAAAAAACATGTACAATTAGTTTGTAAAATATCTTTATAAAAGTACACACATTACAATTACAAAATAATATTATGAAACAAGAAAACTTAATTAAAATATCTAAATTTATTAATTTAAAAGCGAATATAAGAAATAAAGGAAAAAAAAATAATTTAAAAAATAATGAAATTTAATTTTGTAAAGTATGCAAATATTTTTTTTTATCAAAATGATAAAATATAATATTATCATCGATGTGTTGATATTTGCAAGCCATATGTAAAATTGAGGTTGTATCTGGCACATTTCTTAGAGAGCACTCAGCCATTTTTTGAAATTGCATATGTAAATTCAATTTAAGACATATAATGTAGCTATATGCACGTTCCGGTCGTTGAGGAATTCCAGAAAAAGAACTTCCAACAAATGGACGCACATCGAAAGAAATTCAATCACATTTGCGATAATCTCATAATACTTAAGGGTCGACGGTCCTAATCTAGATAATCCCATTTTTTTGTATCTCATTCAT